CTGCGGGCGGTGCGGGACGAGGTGGCCGGGCGGCGCGCGGCCGTGGCGGCCAAGCAGAAGCGCGAGTCGGAGCGGGCCGCCACCGAGGTGCGCAGCCGGTACCTGCTGCGGGCGACGCTGCGGCAGCGCGGCGTGCGCACGCGCTCGACCGACAAGCCGCCCGAGATGGAGGACGCGCGCTGCCAGCTGGTTCCCGACCCGGACGACGCCGCGGCCAGCTCGCTCGCCTTCCCGACCATGATCCTGTACCCGGCCGACATGCAGTCCGACTTCATAAAGGCCTTTGGCGAGCGCGACTGCGTTGACGTGCACCTGTCGTACCTGCTACCTCTCCCCTGGGACCGCGACAGCGCCTACACCCAGAGCGGCGTCGAGTGCTATGTCGAGACTGCCAAGGGCTCGCTTCTCAAGCTGGGCAAGAAGGTGCCGCTCATCAAGGTCCTGGCCCTCGAGAGCATGGAAGTCGTCGACGAGCTCGTCCGCATCTTCGTGCTGCCCAAGGCCAAGGCGGCCAAGTGGGTCAAGGAGTTCAAGGCCATCAAGTCGGGCACCTCGACTTAGAGAGGCAAGAGGAGTTGCAGGATCATGCCCCCCAAGAAGAAGAAGCGTCCAGCTCCAGACCCGTTGGCAGGGTGCGCCTCCGTCTTTTAGTCCGGTATAGATGTCACTGTAATAGCTTTTTTATAGTTTTCGACGCATCATAGGCCGCAGACTGACGGTTTTTTGGGGGCGTATAACAGACAGGACCACAGCGAGAGTATAGCATTACCGTCAGGCTTCTGGTCGGAGTAAAGATCAGTGGTTAAATAGCGGTAAAATGCAGAATAAGCAAATACGATCATGCAGCCTCCAAACACCAGATTACCAGATTACCAGATGGTATACGACACTGTTCACCAGGTAGTCTCCAGGACAGAGCACCCGCGCCAGCCGCAGTTGCACACGCAGACGTCGGGCGAGGCCGCCTACAGTCTCCAGTCGCTTGCGCCCGGCCGACCTAGAGCAGGACGATCTGATGTTGTTCCACAGAGCACTGTACGTACAGCGGTCAGTGGCGAACAGCCGAGACCAGGCCCGTCTGCCGGCAGTGTAAATCGCGCCAGTCACATGCCCTGGTTGGACTAGCTTTTGTATCGCGTGTTGGAAGCGTCCTTGACCCGTGTACTCTACGGCTGACGCCTCAACTGTGCGAGTCGAGCACAATATGAACATGAATATGTGATCGCATTTCCATCAAACCCCAGGCCTCCACCGCTATCCGCCCCACTGTACCGGCCAATCGTCAGCGCCCCCCAGCCTGACCCCGGTTGCGTCACAGCGGGCCTGCAACGCATCTGGAAACCCCTGGACCAAGCACAGCACATCCAGCGACCCAGACGACGTAGCCGTGCTCCCACATGGCATCACAAGGTTTCCCTTCTCGACGCCGGCCGGCAGCTCGCAGATTTGCTCGCCACAAGCGGCTAGAATCTGGGCCCGCCGATCGGCTGGCTCGTGCCATTTCACAATCCACGGCGCCCGCTAGTCGGGATGTGCTGGCCAGAAAATGTCCTTCCCTCCGTCGCTCGAGACGGGCGACGCTGCGAGCCAGGCAGACATCAGCATCGCCAGCGGCACCACAAACGCCCCCGACTCGCTCACCCCGCCAGAGCCCGTGGAACCCATCTTCCCGCTGCTGAGCAACAGCACCGAGACAGACCAGACCCCGCTCGTCGTCGGCGCACTGGGCCAGCAGGGAGCCGGCATCGACGACAATGACGACGACGACGAGCCCGCCGTAGCCAAGCCCTTTGCCCGCACCTCGAGCCCCGACAACACCAAGGCCCGTCGCCAGGACAGCTGCTCCGACGACGACGGCGACGACCCGGATAGCGACCGAGACGCCAACGACGGCGGCCCTGCAGAAGACGGCCCGGGAGGCGGCGGCGGCGGCGACAACCGCCGCAAGCGCATGCTGCACAAGATGCACAAGTACAGCCTCTACGAGACGGCGACGCGCTACTACATCGTCGGCGGCGACGTCACGGAGCGGCGGTACCGCATCCTCAAGATCGACCGCACGGCCGAGGAGCAGGACCTCAGCGTGACGGACGACAAGATCGTCTACTCGCAGAAGGAGATGAACGCGCTGCTCGACACCATCGACGACGGCAACAAGGCCACGGGCGGCATCAAGCTGCGCTGCACCACGTGGGGCCTGCTGGGCTTCATCAAGTTCACGAGCCATTACTACATGCTGCTCATCACCAAGAAGAGCACCGTGGCCATGCTAGGCGGCCACTACATCTACCAGATCGACGGCACCGAGCTCATCCCCCTGACCCCGGCCCGCGCCCGCTCCGATCAGCGCAACACGGAGGAATCGCGCTTCCTGACCATCCTCGGCAACCTGGACCTGACGCGGTCCTTCTACTACTCGTACTCGTACGACATCACGCGCACCCTGCAGCACAACATGACGCGCGAGCGCATCGCCTTGCAGCAGGGCCGCCCCCGCACCCTCGACGCCGACTTCAACTCCATGTTTGTGTGGAACAGCCACCTGCTGGGCCCGGCCGAGAGGGCCCTGACGTCGCCCTTTGACTGGTGCCGCCCCATCATCCACGGCTACGTCGACCAGGCCGCCGTGTCCATCTACGGCCGCACCGCCTACGTGGCCGTCATCGCCCGCCGCTCGCGCCACTTTGCCGGCGCTCGCTTCCTCAAGCGCGGCGCCAACGACCTCGGCTACGTGGCCAACGACGTCGAGACGGAACAGATCGTGTCCGAGGTCAACACCACGTCGTTCCACTCGCCCGGCCCGCGCCTGTATGCCAGCCCCCAGTACACGTCGTACGTCCAGCACCGCGGCAGCATCCCGCTGCACTGGTCCCAGGACAGCACCGGCGTGACGCCCAAGCCGCCCATCGAGCTGAACCTAATCGACCCCTTCTACACGTCGGCCGCCCTGCACTTTGACAACCTTTTCGAGCGCTACGGCGCCCCCATCTACGCCCTCAACCTGGTCAAGTCGCGCGAGCGCACCCCGCGCGAGTCCAAGCTGCTCAACGAGTACACAAAGGCCATCGCCTACCTCAATCAGTTCCTGCCCGAGGACAAGCGCATCTTCCACAAGGCCTGGGACATGTCGCGCGCCGCCAAGTCACGCGACCAGGACGTCATCGGCATCCTCGAGGGCATCGCCGAGGACGTCGTCACCACCACGGGCTTCTTCCACAACGGTGACGGCGTCACCGCCCCGGCCCGCGTCCAGAACGGCGTCGCGCGCACAAACTGCATCGACTGCCTCGACCGCACCAACGCCGCCCAGTTCGTCATCGGCAAGCGCGCCCTCGGCTACCAGCTGCACGCCCTGGGCATCCTCGAGGACACCGTTGTCAACTATGACACCGACGCCGTCAACCTGCTGACCCACATGTACCACGACCACGGCGACACCATCGCCGTCCAGTACGGCGGCAGCCAGCTCGTCAACACCATGGAGACGTACCGCAAGATCAACCAGTGGACCAGCCACAGCCGCGACATGATCGAGAGCTTCAAGCGCTACTACAACAACTCGTTCCTCGACGGCCAGCGCCAGGAGGCCTACAACCTCTTCCTGGGCAACTACATCTTTTCCCAGGGCCAGCCCATGCTCTGGGACCTGGCCACCGACTACTATTTGCACCACGCCGACCCGCGCGGCTGGCTGGGCAAGCCGCGCCACAACTACATCAACTGGTTCACCCCCGAGTTCCTCAAGCCCAGGGAGGTCCCGCCCTGCGTGCCGCCCCCGGCCCGCGGCGACGCGGCCTCCAAGCCCGTGTCGTACTTTGACGACTACTGGCTCGAGTACTACCGCCCCTCGACCCTGTCCTCCTTCCTCAAGATGTTCCCCTACAAGATGAACTCGACCATCAAGTTCATCCCCTTCAAGTCCACCCAGGAGGGTCGCTACGACCTCAGCCCCTTCCGCGTCCGCACCGAGGGCGACCAGGACGCCCAGGACAAGCGCCGGAGGGGCAAGAAGGAGGTCACCATCCTGGCACCTCACGACCTGCCCCACGTCGGCGCTGACGCGGCCTCGATCGCCACAACCCACCGCTCCGGCGCGTCGACCGCCGTCACCTCATCGACAACCAAGGGCTACCGCGGCTGGCTGGACAACACGCAGGACCCCAAGTACCTGTCCTTCCCGCAGCCCAACGCCGGCATCCACGGCATCATGAAGGACGGCACCTCCTCGGCGACGGCTGTCGGGGACCTCGACGTCAACGGCAAGCTCGTGAAGCCGTCGACGCTCGAGAAGACCAGGGCGGCCCAGTGGACGTTTGCAAAGATGGTGCACGAGTCGCTGAACCCGTCGGTCAGCGGCGACGAGACCGAGGACTACGCGCGCTACATCAGCCACCCGCAGACGCTCCCGCTCGTCGTCACGGCCGACCCGGAGCCGTCGGACGACGTCGACGGCGAGTATCAAGAGTACGTTTCGGGGAGCTGGCAAACGGTGGGGTTGACGCCCAAGGCCGCAAGCAGCGTCGTCGTCGGCGGCGGCAGCGGCACCAACGGCTCCTCGCATCACCCGCTCCTGAACCATCACAACTACCACCACCACCGCACCCACTCTCCGGCCCAGTCGCACGACTTTGGCTACGGACAGGACAGGGCCGACAGCGTCCTGGGGCGGGACACGGACGAGGACGGTGACGACACGCGCGTCTACGAGGAGCTGCTACGCGTAGGCGAGAACCCGCTCACGGTGACGGAGGAGGACACGCACAAGAAGCGGTACAAGGCCTACGGGAAGTGGCTGAGGGGCAAGTCGCTGTTTAAGCAGCAGCCGGTGGACTAGGAAGACCCGGCTGCCGCGGAAGCCTCGGCCTCGGCTGAAGACTGGGGGATCCAGTATCGGCTGGTCTCTTAATTTTTTATTTTTCTTTTCCTTTTTTTTTCTCGGTATTTCCTGTGTTTCCCCCTGGTCTAGGCCTCGGTCGCGTCCGGCGCTGCGATCCCAAAAAGTCCCACAAGCAACGGCTCCCTGTCCGTCAGCGGGGCCACCAGCTCAGTCAGTTCGGTTCCCTCAGCCCTTGTCACGGCAGCCAGCATCTTTGCCGTGCATGCCAGCTCGGCGCAGACGCTTTCGCTAGCCTGCTTCCTGGAGGCGTCGTTGGCGTCGTCGCGCGCCCGCAGCCAGCAGGCGACCAGGGACTTGACCACCTCCTCCCTCCACGGCGGCCGGGCCAGCCTCGGCCAGCAGTTGCGGATCACGGCCTGCTGGGCCCCTATGGCGGCCAGGAGCGAGGGCGGGTGGGCCATTGCGAAGGGCTCCTCCATGACCGAGGATATCATGGGTATCAGGTCCTTTTTTGTCATGTTAGCATTCTGGGAGTTTGCATATTGTTTGTGTGCGGTGGCGTTTGGCAGGTCGGCGCATCGGAGCGAATTTGAAAGTCCAACTGTTCTTTACCTTGAGGTGCTTGACGGCGTGAACCTTCATCTCGTCCACGATCAGCCCCGCGTGCCGCACGAGGACCTCGACGACACGTATGTAGTCCCGGGCGTAAAAAAAGCCGGTAAAGACGCCGTCGCGGAGGGCCTTGTCGAGGAGCGCCAAGTCTGGCCCGTCCTTGCCGCCAACGCGCGACAGGGCCACCAACGCGGCGTAGGCCGGCTCCTGCAGCCGCAGCGACTCTGCCTCGGGCGTGGAGCGCGGCAGGAAGAGCAGCGTCGGGAAGACGGCGTCGCGGAAGACGGCGGCCAGGCCCGTCGCGGCCAGCGTGGCGCCGTCCATTCTGGAGAGGAACACGGCAAGGAGGCCAAGCCCGCGCGCGCGCACGTCGCCGTCGCCGTCGTCGAGGAGCGTGAGGAGGACGGGGGTGAAGAGGGGCCAGTGCTGGGCCATGAGGTCCTTCTGTGCTGTAAGTTTTAGCACATGGGGGAACGCAGGAAAATGGGGAACATGAATGTGACTTGCATCCGCCTCGTGCAGCGCCCACGCAAAGACGGGCACGGCGCGCAGGTCCGTGTGCTTCCACGGCTTGGCGGCCCGCGTCTCGAGCGCCAGGCTGCCGTGCGCGCCGGGCTCCTCGGCGAACTCGGCCCTGCGGCCCGACGCCGTGACGGCCGCGGGTCTGGATTTGGAGAAGAGCGGGCGCAGGTAGTCGCGCAGCACGTCGTCGGCGATCAAGGCCGTCTTGCCCCTCCGCTCAGCAGCCGCCCGCGCCACGTCGGCTGCCTGCCGCGCCGCCTCGGGCGTCGTCCAGGGCAGGGACGGGTCCGTGTGCGCGATGGCGGTCACGACGGCGTCGGGGCTCAGGGATGGCGCGAGGAGGCTAAAGATGCGCAGGGCGGGTTCGGCGAGTGGCTGGATGGCGCTGCTGAGGGCGCCGAGGTCCCGTGCTCGGTCGGCCGCTGGATGCCGTCGACGGAGTGGGAGGTTAGATGTGGGCGTGGCCTTCGTGGCGGGCTGGCACGTACCGGTAGGGTGGTATCCCTCGATCTCGTCGTCTGGCGTGACGGCGATGGGGCATATGGACCTAGCGGCAAAGTCGCCGATTCTCTTCAACGCCGCGGAATCTGCATCCTTGTTGCTGGGCTCCGAGGTGTCTCCACTCAGGTCTTGGAGACAGGCCAGGAGTGCGAGGAGGTTTTCCCGCTTGCCCTATGGGGTACTCCCGTTAGAAAGTGATATGTGGCAAGGCTGGGAACAGGAGCACACCAGGCCATCCTCGGTGACCAGCTCCGTCGCAATGTCATCCAGGCTGCTGCTAGAGCCTCCGTGTGCAGTGTTATGGTTGACTAAAAGTTCTTTGAATTAGCCATGTCCGCCTACAACTGGTGTTTGTGACATCTCGTACCCAGCTTCTCCCTAAGCTCCTTCAGCGACCGGTCCACGCCCAACGAGCTTGGGATGGAACTAGCTGCTCGCTTCAGCTCCAGGGGAGACCCCAGCAACATGGCTCAAACTCGGCTTGCCTGCTGTCAAAAAGATCGCTTATCGATCTAATGACGACTTTCCTAATACTCGGCAGCCGTGGTGGGCGGTAATGAAGGCGCTGTTCTGGCTGCCATAGGATACAGGAGCGCCGATGTGATCAGATAAAATCAGTAGCCGCTCCGCTAATTGCAGGCACCAGCCCACTACAGTTACAGGCTTAATTGCAAGCACAGACCCACGCGCAAAAACACCAAGCCAAATTTCGCGATAGTTGGCGATAAAATCAATTAAATTAACTGCAGCAACGTTGCCGCCACCAATTTATAAATCGCTTTAATTGCTCTCATCGCGTTAATCAGGCAAGTCCGGTCACGGTTTTTAATTCGTTTTTTTGTTACAAAAAATAATAATCAGATTTTCAACGTTTAGGGCGTACCTAATGCTGGATGTAAAGAATCACCTAGCCGTGCCTGCATTATACACTGCCAGATTAATTACAAACTGCCGTACTACCCACCGCCCTATCAACCTCATATAGTTTGTCGGATCGTCTCTTTCAAGCTGTCCGCCAAGACCCTATTTGCGCTCCTAGACGCCTTGACCGCGCTATTGACCACGTCCAGGTACAGCGCCGTGTCGGATGTCGCGACGTTCCCCTTGAACCACAGGGTCGTCACCTCGTCCCTGTTGGGGAGGTAGGCAACGCAGCAGGCAGCCACGACCCTCTCGTGCTCCGCCGGCACGGGATCCAGCACGATGGTTCCCTCTGCGCCCTCGGGAGCCCCCGCGTCCACCACCAGCGCGGCCACGCCGCCAGCGACGACGTCGACGCAGTCGATGCCCGCGTCGGCCAGCGCAGCCGCCGCCACGGTGATGCAGCCGCTCAGCACGCTCATGGTGCCCCAGGCCTCGCCGTCGCCGTCGGGCTGGCTGCGGTCCTGGTCGCCCTCGATGACCGACACGATGACGTCGACGCCGCTCTTGGGCCAGCGGTCGGCGATGATGGCGCCGCGCAGGGCCGTCTCGAGGTGCACCGATAGGTCGCGCTCGCTGGCATCGCGGATGTAGCCGCGGCGCTGCTTGGTGGCAAATGGCGCGTACTTGACGTGCGTCGACAGCACAATGTGCGGCGAGAAGGGCGCCGACCGCGGCAGCGCCCGCGGGCCGTGGACGGTGCAGGCCAGCTTCAGCCCCGACATGCCGCTGCCCGACGGGTGCTCAATCTCCAGGTACGCCGAGCCGCTGGCCGGCGGTGTTATGCCGGTCTTGAGGACTGGGGTGGGTCAGCTTCGCTGTGGTTCTGGCCGGGGAGGGAGACGTACACATTTTCCTGATGGTGTTTGGCGGCCTTGTCCGTATCCTCTGCACCTTCTTTCCATTGTCTGCCGGCTCATTGATAAAAACGGGGGGATATGTTGTGCCTACTGGGCCGTTTATGCGCCGTCTGTCTGCCATAGTCAGAAAACGGGAGTCCCGTGAGGCCTGGCTGAGGTTTGGCTGAGGCGTGGCCGGGCTGATCTGAACTGCTTTCGTGCTTCCAGCTGTGATGCGAGTGTAGCTACCAGGATTCACAGGTCATAGGTAATAGTTCACGGCTCACAGGAACACAAAACGTCCAATTCCGTACTCTGGTACCGAGCTCGTTTGCTCGAAGCACCGCGCACAGCCAGCACAAATCTCTGCAGCCACACGCCTCTGCAAGCCACACCTGGCGGATAATCCACCCCACCATGGACCCACATTGAGCTGGAGCTTGAAAAGAAAAGATTTGCAGAGCTCCTTTCGAGAAAAAATCTTCCCTTTCCTCCCACTCCCAATCGCGAGCCTTCTCGACGCCGACATCTCGACACGATGCGATCCCAGCTGGGCTTTTGATTCGAGGCCACCGACTGGGCGCAGACTGCGGAATGCCAGGCGCGGGCCTCGATCGTATCGTCTTTCCGGCGTACTCGGTACGTTCCATCCTCATGCAGACGGGCAGCGAGCGCTTCGCCTCGACCGCTGTTGATGAGACAACTTCCACTTTACTTCGCGATCACCTGAGCGAATGGAAAAATACATGCACTACCATCTGAAGCATCTCCCCGACACCCATCCATGTTACCACGGCGCGTTTGGTTCCCTGCTGACATGGCATAGTGATAGTCTTGGACTCCATCTCCTATGCTAACATCAACAGCATCGCCAACATGCTCTCCTCGCGTGGTAAGTCCGACCGTCTTCTTGCTTCATTCCTCCGAGTCCCTGATGACAACACTTATTTCAGTTCTGCTACTGAAAGCATGTGATGATACACCTATACCAAAAAAAAACTTCTGATTCAACTCGTTGGAGCCTCACTCTTGTCTTTCTCACACACAGTCGAGCAACCGCTAACGAGTCTACAGATAGTGTCTGAACTATGCCACGAGCGACTTGACTGCCAATTCTGCAACTCCAGTATCTGTCAGTATCTGTAGGTTTCTCCGCCGACACGCCTGCACTGCCATGATGATAATAGCTTATCCATTCAATGACATGCCTGTCCATCCATCCTCTCGTACTCGAGCAGACTTGTCTGTGATGATGAGTTGTGGAGTCGGCCTTCGGGTTGTAATTTGGCTCTAGTACCTGGGATCGTCGCATGTCGTCTTGGCATGTGGTTGAGCCTGGGTCGGACAGTCGGTATGAATTAACCGGCTTTCTGAGCACTTGCATACACCCTCGTCTGATGGTTCCCTTCGATGACCTGGGCTAACGGAGTGTAGATGCTGCATGACTTGTAGGAAATAGTAGCATTGGGGACGGTTAGTGATGCAATTTGGCACAGCCTATCTCACAGATGCAGGTTGGGTCCACCGCCAGCTGCGAGGAAAAGGGGACAGGGTTGTAAAAAGTAAATAATAAAAATATTTGCAACAAACTTTGGGCGAAACGGGTGCATGCAGAATGATCGTCCGTGGAAGATCTCCATTTCGATAACAGATACGCCACGCCATGTGCACAATAAATCCGTGTTGGCAATGCCAAATGGCACGGGTACGCCAAACAGCGCAGCCCGTTGACATTCGAACGAGGCGCCGGCGCACCATCACGGTAAAAGCCTGTTTCATTGGTCGTAGCAAGGAGGCGGTGCCTGGCTCGTGTGGGCTCAAAGCTTGAGGCCAGGGTACCGGTACATGTCGCACATGCGGGCTTGCCGGGCGAATTAAAGTACTGACGGTGGAGCCACGCATTCCCGTCCGTCTGGACAGCGAACTGAAAAAAAAGGGGACGGATTGGGAAGAAGAAAGCGAATTGCTGGTCTGAGGAGCCGACGTCGTGGCTGATTCAGATTCATCACGAATGGACAACGCCCTTCTCTCCTTGGCTGTTTTTGCCTTTCCTGTGTGCCGTCCCAACGGCTCTCGACCGCCAAGCCCTGCCGACCCCCATTTTCTTTTATCTCCTTCGTCCAATTCTTTCTCGTGATGCATTGACGTACCCGCCTGTCCACGATCCCACGAAGCTACGCGATCCGACGGCCTAGGACTCGGTCTACTCGCCGCCCATCTCCCTCCCGCCCCGAGGGCTGCCGTCCCGCCAACAGAGCCGCTCAGTTCGGCCACCGCGAGCGCGATGCTACCGTCATACTCGGCCAAGGCCAAGGTTACGCCCCGGCACCAGGCCACGGGCTACTCCAACGGCTACCCGCCTTCATCCAACACACTGGAGTTCTCTCCGCACAGGTAAGTAGGGGGCCGGGATAGCGAGCTGCAGCGGCATCCTGCTCGAGCGGCGCCATCTAACCACCAGCCCTCCAGGTATCAACCTCGCACAACACCCTCATTACGACGCCGACGACGGATAATCGCACGGCTCGGGATCGTAACCGCCCTCGTCTTCTTCCTGTGCGTCGTGTGGCCCGGCTTCGACACGGTCGCGTCCCTCTTCTCGCTCGGCCTCGTCGGCAGCGGCGGCGCACAAAGCCTCGTCGAGACGGTGCGCTACTATGACCTGTCTAACGTGCAGGGCACGGCGCGGGGCTGGGAGCGCGAGGAGCGCATCCTGATGTGCGTGCCGCTCCGCGACGCCGAGTCGCACCTGGGCATGTTCTTCTCGCACCTGCGCAACTTTACCTACCCCCACCACCTGATCGACCTGGCCTTTCTGGTGTCCGACTCCAAGGACAACACACTCAAGGTGCTCGTCGACAGCCTCGAGAAGATCCAGTCCGACCTGGACTCGGACCAGTGGTACGGCGAGGTCTCTATCATTGAGAAGGACTTTGGCCAAAAGGTCAACCAGGACGTCGAGAGCCGCCACGGCTTTGCCGCCCAGGCCAGCCGCCGGAAGCTGATGGCCCAGGCCCGCAACTGGCTGCTCAGCGCCGCCCTACGCCCTTACCACTCGTGGGTCTACTGGAGGGATGTCGACGTCGAGACGGCTCCCTTTACCATTTTGGAGGACCTGATGCGCCACAACAAGGACGTGATCGTGCCGAGTAAGTTCATCGTCGTCGTGTTGTGTCCGACCTGCGCTAACCTGCGTCAGATGTCTGGCGCCCTCTCCCCGACTGGCTCGGCGGAGAACAACCATACGATCTCAACTCATGGCAGGAATCCGAGACGGCCCTGGCTCTTGCCGACACGCTGGACGAGGATGCCGTCATCGTCGAGGGCTACGCCGAGTACGCGACGTGGCGGCCTCATCTGGCATACCTCCGCGACCCCTACGGTGACCCGGACATGGAGATGGAGATTGACGGAGTCGGCGGTGTCAGCATTCTGGCCAAGGCCAAGGTTTTCCGATCCGGCTGCCACTTTCCCGCCTTTAGCTTTGAGAAGCACGCCGAGACGGAAGGGTTTGGCAAGGTACGAGACCACACGGGAGCGGGCCACAAGAGGCTGCAGAGCGCTGACGATCCTCACAGATGGCCAAGAAGATGGGGTATTCCGTCGTTGGGCTGCCCCACTACACGATTTGGCACTTGTACGAGCCTAGCGTCGACGACATCAAGCACATGGAGGTAGGAATTCTCTCGCCGGGCCCGGTGGGGTCCATGCCGCTGACATTTTTGCCTCACAGGAGATGGAGCGTGAGCGTATCGCTCGCGAGGCCGAGGAAAAGGAAAAGGCCGAAAAAGCACAAAAGATGAAGGACACTTTTGGTGACGCGGGCGGCCAGTGGGAAAAGGACAAGAAGGCCATCGAGAACATTGCGCAGGGCGAGAAGAAGCCTACCGACAAGGCCAAGGCCGAAGGCAAAGCCAAGGCGGACGGCAAGGACACTAAAGACACCAAGAAGACGGACGACATCAAGGCCAAGAAGGAGTAGTCACTCCTGCTGTCGACACGACCCCTTAATCGCGGCGGCATATTCTTACTACATCATGCGTATTGCTTCCTTGCTCCATCGACCAGGCGAGGGAAAACATAACGGTCCAGGCATATCATTACTGTACTGTAACAACATAGCGAGCCCGGCCGAGGCTGCCGTGGCTTCTGGATCTTTTGGGCGTTTGTTTGAGGGCGGCATCTGATGCGACGAATCTAGATATAACACGGCACTCCTGGGAGTGGTGTTTTCCTTGTCTTCACTTGTTTTTACTTGTGCACCAGCTAAATAGAATCCATGGCCTGTTTCAACGAGTCGAAGATGGGATGGGAATTGAAGATGTGCTGCTGTGCGTGCGTTCTCATGCAGTGCGCTCAGTCTCAACTCGTGGTGGGGCAGCTGGAGCACGGCCAAGGCACGTCAGGCGGCGCTGGAGCCTGTCTAGTGTCTAGACGACGGTGCTGGGTCCAATTCGGGGTCCCGAACCGACGGGACGTGCTCGCTAAGCCGCCGTTAAAGCTCCAAGTGTTCAGTTGAGCGTCATTGAGTGCTGCGCGCCGTGTCCAAACAAACCCGCCAGCGATCTCATTATTCTGTCCTTCTTCTCGGTTCCAGACCTCTGGCCGTGTATTATTTGACTACCCTGGCCACGACTAGCCCTTTTCTTGCTCCGGTTCTGTGGCATCTATTTATCGAACGGTAGTCTTGCGCCTGGTCGACTGCCCCTATCCCAACCCCGTCCTCGCGATCCAAACGCCCTGATATTTTTTCCCACTCCCACCCGGCCGACCCCCTTTTGCCGTCTCGTGCACCATCACTATCGCCTGACCGCGCCCGACCCTGTACTCCTCGACATCACGACGCCGGCGACTCCGCGCAGCAGACCAGCCAGTCCTGCGCACCGCAGCATGAGCCGAGATGAGACGATCCCGAGAATCATGGAGCCCGAGGCTCTAGACGACCTCCCCCCACGCCCCATGAGCCCGCGGACCGCGCGGATGCAGTACCGCAGCCGCCCTGTCTCGGTCGCCGTTGACCCCGTGTCGCTCGTCATATCCGAGTGCATATCCATCACGTCAGCCATCCAGAAGTACGCGCGCTCCCAGCACTCGTCCGTCTCCGCCATATTGGGCGGCGCCCCGAACCCCGTCCAGCTCGGTCCCCCAAGCCCGGGCCTGACGCGGAGCGGGCGCGGCAAGACAAAGGGCGCCGGCGGCAAGGGCATCCTGGGTGACGCAGCCGACTTTGGGCCAGCAAACAGATGGGGGCTCCGGGGGAAGAAGGGGAAGAGCATGGCGGACAATCCGCTGATATCCGGCTTTGCGAGGCTGCGGAACCAGCTGGCCGGTGTAAAAGGTATGCAGGATCTTGTTGTGCCCCTTGATGCTCATGCTGACGTGCTCCCAGATATACACAATTTCGATTCCCTCACGCTTCTCTACCCCTTTTTGCAGATCATCCAGACCAAGGGCACGGCGGCCCCGATCACCATCCTGGCGCTCCGGGCCATGCGCAAGTTCCTCGCCTACGGCTTCATCTGCCCCAGCTCGCCCCGCTTCGCCCTGGCCATGCACTCCCTCTCGACCGCCATCACGCACTGCCAGTTCGATATTAGTGACTCGGCCCAGGAGGAGGTCGTGTTGCTCATGATCCTGCACCTGATGGAGGACATGCTCTCGGGCCCGGGCGGCGACATCCTTAGTGATGAGAGCGTTTGCGACATGATGGGCAGAGGGCTGACCATCTGCTCCCGTGCCCGCTTCTCCGAGGTGCTGAGGCGCACCGCCGAGGACTCCATGATGCGCATGTGCCAGATCATCTTTGAGGACCTCAAGCACCTCGAGGAGGAGGCCGGCGAGGAGAGCGACGCGCTCGACCGCAAGACAAACGGCGATATGGACAACGTCAAGATGGACCCCGCCGCAAACGACGTGCCCAAGCCGCCATCTCAGGTCCAGGCCGCGCTGTCGGCGGAGCCGCGGCCTTCGCACAGCTCCGGGCGCAGCAGCACAGAATCGACGCCGGCCCCTGTCCCGGTGGCCGGTGACGGCCCTGCAGATGACCCTGCGGCTGACGGTCCTGCGGCCACAGATCCACTCCTGGGCGAAGCCCCAGAGGCAGAGGCCCCCGAGGTCCCGGCCGGGGCGAGCGGCGAGCCCAAGGAAGAGTCGACCGAGGCAGCCAGCCGCCCTAGCACGAGCACGACCGCCTCCGGAAGCACCCAGACCTCGGAGTCGGTCGACCTGAGGCCGTACTCGCTTCCTTCGGTCAGGGAGCTCTTCAGGGTCCTCGTTAACTTCCTGGACCCCCACGACCGGAAGCACCCCGACGCCATGAGGGTCATGGCCCTACGCATCATCCACGTCGCCTTGGAGGTGGCCGGCCCGTCTATTGCCCGGCACCCCGCACTGGCGACCATTGCAGAAGACAAGCTGTGCTGCTTCCTGTTCCAGCTCGTCAGGTCCGACAACATGGTCATCCTGCAGGAGTCGCTCATCGTTGCCGGCACCCTGCTGTCCACGTGCCGTGGTGTGCTCAAGCTGCAGCAGGAGCTGTATCTGTCGTACCTCGTCGCGTGCCTTCACCCTGCGGTCGAGATCCCCAAAGAGGTCAACATCGACCCGTCTCTGTACGCCGGTATTCCCCAGTCTCCGAAACTAGTCAAACCTCCGCCGTCGCAGTCCGGCAGCGGGCGGTCCACACCCGTGCCGGTCAAGGATCGCCAAAAGCTCGGTCTGGAGGGTGGTGCTCGGAAGCCGGACGCTCGGCAGGCCATGGTGGAGAACATTGGCGTGTTGGCTAGGGTTCCGACGTTCATGGTGGAGCTATTCGTCAACTACGACTGCGACGAGAACCGCGCAGACCTGTGCGAGGACATGATCGGTCTGCTCTCGCGCAACGCGCTGCCCGACTCGGCGACATGGAGCACTACGAGCGTGCCGCCGCTGTGCCTGGACGCGCTGCTTCGCTTCATCCAGTTCATCGCGGAGAGGCTGGACGAGCCGCCGGTCCTGGAGGGACTGATCGACCCAATCGAGCTTAGGGAGATGAGGCGGCGCAAGCGCATCATCATCAAGGGGACCAGCAAGTTCAACGAGAGCCCAAAGGGCGGTCTGGCATTCCTCCACGACAAGGGCATCATCAAGGACCTTGGCGATCCGAGGGAGGTGGCCAGCTTCCTCCGAGGCACCACACGGGTGTCCAAGGCGGTGCTGGGCGACTTCCTTTCCAAAAGGGGCAACGACGCCTTCCTCGAGGAGTTCATCGACCAGTTCGACTTCAGGGGCAAGCGCGTAGACGAATCTCTGCGGCTGATGCTCGAGACTTTCCGTCTCCCCGGCGAGGCCCCGCTGATCGAGCGCATCGTGGTAACATTCGCCAAGAAGTACTACGCCAAGACGGATTTGGAGGACGTGGCCGACGAAGACTCTATTTACGTGCTATCGTACGCCATCATCATCCTCAACACGGACCAGCACAACCCCAACTTGAAGGAAGATAAACGCATGACGCTGGAGCAATTCTCGCGCAACCTGCGGGGCACCAACGGCAAGAAGGACTTCGCGCCCGAGTACCTCAAGACAATCTACGAGGCCATCAAGTACAACGAGATCATCCTCCCGGACGAACACGACAACAAGCACGCCTTCGACTACGCCTGGAGGGAGCTGCTCTCCAAGACGGACGCAGCCGGGCCGCTCATGGAGTGCAACACCAACGTCTACGACGCTGACATGTTTGCGGCAACGTGGAAGCCCATCGTGGCCACGCTATCGTACGTCTTCATGTCAGCCACGGACGACACAGTGTTTGGCAGGGTCGTGGCGGGCTTCGACGAGTGCGCGCGCATCGCGTCGCGGTACGGCGTGACGGAGGCACTGGACCAGATCATCTACTGCCTGAGCCACATGACCACGCTGGGCAGCGAGACGCTGAGCAACACGAACCTGAACACCGAGGTGCAGGTGGCCGAGAACAGCGTCATGGTTAGCGAGCTTGCCGTCAAGCTGGGCCGCGACTTTAGGGCGCAGCTGGCCACGCTCGTGCTGTTCCGCGTCGTGCGCGACAACGAGCACGTGGTGCGCAAGAGCTGGAAGTACGTCATCCGCATCTGGCTGAACCTCTTTGTCAACTCCCTCATCCCGCCCTTCTTCTCAAGCGACGCGAGCCGCATCAGCCTGCCGGTCATCCCGCTGCAGAGCCCATCTCTGGTCATCGACCGCGGCTCCAAGCAGGCCGACACGGGCTTCTTTTCTGCCTTTACGTCGTACATCTCGAGCTACGCCGCCGACGACCCGCCCGAGCCGTCAGACGAGGAACTGGAGAGCACGCTGTGCACCGTGGACTGTGTCAACGCCTGCCACATGGGTGATGTTTTTGCCAACATCAACAGCCTCTCGGGCGAGAGCCTAGAGTCACTGGTCGACTCCCTGATCGCCGAGATCCCTGAGGACAACGGGGTCGTCATCACGGTCAAGTCGGACAACATCCCGCCCAACTCTGCGGCCAACGCGCCGAAGCCGCAGAACACGCCGACCTACGACCCGGCCATGGTGTACATCATGGAGTTTTGTACGGTGCTCGCGTTGCGCGATGCCGAGACGGTCGAGCTCGTGGGCAAGCGCGTTGCCGACTCGCTGCACGCCGTGCTCCGGGATGCCGCCACCTATAACGCAGTCCTCGTCGGCAGGACGTCCTTCTACCTGTTCAAGCTGCTCAAGGCCAGCTACGACTTTGACTTTGTGCGCGCCCCCGTGCTCCTGCATGCCGTCTCAAGCTTCTCCAAGGACACCCTCTCCAGGTCCGCCGAGGTGCTGCTGCAGGGTATCAAGGTCTGCGTCGACGAGCCCGGCCCGCTGAGGAACGAGATCATGACGTCGCCGGACTTTTGGGCCATCATGGGCACGCTGGCCCCGAGCTCCAAGGCCGCACCGACCGTGTTTGAGATTCTCGAGAACGGTGTGGGCGAGTCACCGCTGGCTGTCATTGCAGACAGCTACAGGCCTGCCATCGCGCTGCTGAACGACTTCGCCTCGGCCGCTCGCGTCGGTTCCCAGGTCGAGCAGAAGGCGGCCATTGAGCGTAGGCAGCGTAAGGGGCTGCCGCCGAAGCAGGATAAGGCCAGGTATGATCCCGTTATGACATGCGTACGAGTTTCTAAGCTAACTCTCCCCAGCGACAACGCCGTTGTGAAGCGTGGCGTCAAGGCCGTCAACATTATATATAGCATGACGTCTCGAATTCCTCAGCTCATGAACCAGTCACTCCTGGAGAACAACGAAGGTACGGCAGCAAACCAGGCACCACCACAGCAAACAGCAATAGGCGGCTCGAGCATCCAACTGACGACGATTCCAGCGTGGGCTGCCTATTGGCTGCCGGTGTTTAAGGCGCTGACGGCGCAGTGCACGAACCCGTGCCGGGAGGTGCGGCACCTGGCCTTTTCGTCGCTGCAGCGGTCGCTGCTGTCGCCCGACATCACGTCGAGCGACCACCGCGAGTGGACGGCCATCTTTGGCGAGGTGCTCTTCCCGCTCATCCTGCGACTGCTCAAGCCCGAGGTATTCTCTAGCGACCGCGACGGCATGAGCGAGACGCGGGTGCAGGCGGCGTCGCTGCTGTGCAAGGTGTTTCTGCAGTACCTGGTGCTGCTGTCCGAGTGGGACGGCATGCTGGACCTGTGGCTCAAGATCATTGACATAATGGACCGGTTGATGAACAGTGGGCAGGGCGACAGTCTTGTGAGTTTGCTTTTGCTTCCCCTTGATGTCCCGTGACACTAACAGACATCTGTTACTTCTACAGGAGGAGGCTGTGCCCGAAAACCTCAAGAACGTGCTGCTCTTCATGTCGAGCAGCGGGCTGCTCGTCACGCCGCAGCAAGATCCGTCCAAGGAGAAGCTCTGGGTGGAGACGTGGAAGCGGATAGACAGGTTCTTGCCGGACCTGCGTAAGGAGCTCGCGCTCGACCAGCAGAGCGCCGGCGAGAAGGAGGACGCCGCGCTAGTGCAGTAGAGGGAATTTACTAGAGACGAGACGGGAGGGTTCAGCGAGTAGCCAAAGTTGATAGCTAGAAGGCGAGTCCATGCCACGAAGCGCCCGGGGAGGACGGCTCAGGTAGCGGACAAAAATGGGAGACGGGCACAGGATTGGAATACGTGAAGCGCTAGATTCCCCGGTGGGCTGTTTTTATTTGTTATATACACTTGCGGCTGCGCGCGCAGTCGTGACGATAGTTGTGATATCAGCGCAAGCGAAAAAGTATTTGGAGGGCGCTGGGAGCGTTGTCGTGAGGGTGCTCAGGGGTTGAGCTTCCATGGCTGACGGCCCCACAAGCATTTCTTATCTTATCGCAAGCGTCATCAGGACGGGATATCAAGCTTCAATTCCATCGCAACCAGAACCGCGCCTAGCCTTGGCCACCAAACCACCACCTACCTAGTTCACGCCGCAACCGCAATAATGGCGGCAAACCCCCCGATCTCGACGTATGTGTCATTGCACTCCGACACTGCGTTTGTCCAGGGCCGGAAGACCATCCTCCATACCCATCCGACCGAGCCTCCTCCCAGGATTCGCTAACACACACTCCACCCATGCCCGCCACGCAGCGTCTATGTCCGCAACCTCGAGGAGCGCGTCAAGCCCGAGGCGCTCAAGGAGGTGCTGGCGACGATATTCTCCGACTACGGCACCATCGTCGACATCGTGGCCAAGACGAACCTGCGCGCAAAGGGCCAGGCGTTCGTCGTCTTTGACGACCCGGATTCGGCCCAGCGCGCCGTCGACGAGGTGCAGGGGTTCGAGCTGTTCGACCGCCCCATGCACCTCGCCATCGCCCGCACGCGCTCCGACGCCACGGTGCGCGCGGCGGGCAGCGGCGAGGAGTTTGAGGCGCACAAGCGGCGGCGCGTCGCCGAGATGGGTGCGTTTTGTTTTGTGACAGTCTTCCCCAGCTCGAGGGGCGGCTAATACTGAAAAAAAAAAAACAACACACTTCCCACAACCACACAGACAAGAAAAAGGCCCTCGAGGCCGCAACCGCCGCGCAAAACAAGCAGGCGGCCGGCGCCCGCGGCGGCAAGCCCGCGGCCGGT